AAAAAAAAAAAAAATTTATTTAACTCATGTGGGTAATGTGATAGAATATCGTATATATATTTAAAAAAAGCTACCACTTGAACCTTCCAGAGTTGAGGCAGCATGTTAGGCACAGAGATCACAGGATCTACAATACCTATTGAAAAGTGGAACTCCAACCAGCCCCAGATTTTTCCAATTCACATTCAGTTTTATTAGAGATCCCAGCATAAATAATTTATTTTTTTAGTTTTCCATTACTATTTAGAAAAATGACTAGAGGCAATGACAAAAATAACCATTTTAAAAGGGATTTCTCTCCAGAAGTTTTTAGTCCAGGCTTTCCATCCTACTCTCTATCCATTTCATTTTAAAAAGAAAGAGCTTTGGAATGTGTCAACCTTTACTCAGCTTGCTATACAAAGCCGCAGCGTTCTCAAGTCCTGGACTTAATGCCAGGATTCATCTCCAAAACCTCTGGTCTTAATCAAATTTATGCTAAGGAAGCCTGCGTTAATCCCAAGGTCAGTCACAATCCTAAACTTAAACAAGAGATGGCTGATTGCATCACTTACGACATACACCAGGCTGAGGTGGAAGGAGCAGGTCAGACACCCCTTGTCTGTCATGTGTGCGTCACACCAGCAGTTGAGCCTGTTCCCTTCCCCCGGGCTTGCTGTGCAAGAACACCACAATGCCACTTCAATCCACTGAGCTTACTGCCTGTCCAGCCATAATGAAAGTCACTTGAAAGCCATCACTGGAATAGATGATTTTCCATAAGTAACAAAAATGTTTTACTTACTGCTTAGACCTACCAACAATTCAAATCTCTCCGTCTCTTCTTGGGGGGCCTGGACTTTTAGGTAAATTGGGGAGCTAAAAATACAAATAAACAACATCTATGCACAAATGTTTATTTTGTCTACCTTACTAGAAAATTACTGTTTCTGAACATTCCACATTCTTGGGAAGGAGAAATTTTATTCAACTGTTGTACACTGTATAAAGGAAAAAGTTTCTCTTTTTAGTCTTTATCTCATTGTATGGGTTTCACTCTAAGTATTGAGAGTGAGAAGGGGGAGACCAGCAAAGCACACAGAGCAGCAAAAAGCACGCTCTCTGTCAGCAACATGACAACTCCTCTAATATCGTCCATGCTGACTAAGTAATTTCTGGTGGAGTTGAATACATCATTAAATTTCTATTTGTGTTCTGCCTGAGGCTTTTCCCTAACCACTAATTACAAGTGAAGGTCTAGAGAGCTTTTGTGAAAGGGGCAGAACACAAGCTGTCCTGGTTTGTAGCCAGGTGTCAGTGTACTGAATGATGGAGGGAGAGGATTACAGGAAGATTTTTGTTTCAGCCTTAGACCAACCAAGATTTAAAAGACGTACAGAAAACAGCTTCATGGGGTTAGGGGACAGAAGTGTGGAGAACAGAAGATAGGAGGATGGGGAGTAGTAAATTCATTTACTAGAATTCAGAGGTAAAAAACACCCATACAAGTTCATAGAACACAGAGGAACAAGAAGGAATACTTCCTGCACCATATATAGATCAGGGCATAGGGTGAGTGGGGCACAGTGGATTAGCCATTAAACGGCTTCAATGACAATTCTGAAACCTGTTCCAGTTTAATTTGGAATAAAGTCTCAACAGACCGAAGACTGTGCTTAACAAATGTCATTAGAAGGTAACAGCTTTTAAAATATTATTTTGCTTCCTGCTTCCAGGTGATTTCCTTTTGGTTATAAACCAGAAATAGTATAAACCTCACAGGATGAAAGAAGTCTTTTGAAACAGGTGAGGTAAGCATCTAGATGAACTTACACAGTAAGTGAAGAGTCTATACTTCTTGGTCTCTCCCTTGACCACTCCAAGTCTCTGACCTACCAGAGATGATAGTTTATTTCTTCTGGAAGAAGCCAGTAATAGACACTTGTCTGTTGGCTTTGCCCAGAGCAGCAGTCCCTTTCTTGGGACCCTTTCGTTCCTCTCTGGGTTCTTTCTTCACAGGCATGGCAGAGGGTCTGTGTACAGAGGATGTCTTCATCTTGAGCTCCTCTTCACTATCTGTGCAGGATTCACTCTCGTAGACTTTTTCAGTCACTGGTAGAAAAAAATAGAATATAGGTAGGCGAGTCATTTACTCTAGTAAGAGATGAGATGTCTTGCTCACCCCATCACCATAGACCCTCTGATTAAGATAGGTGTGCTTACCCAGCACCAAACCTTTCTCCTATTGGAAGAGCAGATGTAGCCTCAGGTAGGAATTAAGTGGAATCCTGAGCTCACAGTCTCTATTTGGGGCTCAGAATTAACATTCACTCTTCCTCCCTTGTTTCTATGTCCCATGCTTTTAAATGGGACTTTATCATTTAATTGCCCAAATGCTTTCTGTGGGTCCTAGTCTATACTAGCCAATTTCCTGAGCTCTACATTTGAATTGTCTGTATCTCAAACACCTACTTATAAACTCTACACTTTGGTTGGCTTCTTAAGCCTCATCTCCCTGACTCACAGTGCCTGCCTACTCCCCATTTCTAGTCTTCAATTTGTAGTCTATTTGCCCACCCCATTCTCTCTAGCTAAGCCAAGCTCACCACCACAGACCCTCTTGATGTCAACCTACTCTTTGCACATCTGAAGTACAGAAAATTGGAGATTAGTTATTCAACTGGTTCTTAGTTCTGAATGGCTGCTGATTAACCCAAGATTTAGTAGTAGTCTGTATCATGAAGGTGACTATCTCAAACAAACTCTATCAGATAACACTCTTGATAGTTTTAAGGAAGGACAATGATAAAATGAGAAACAAAGTTACCAGTTCTTACTCCTTATCAGCCAAAAGCATAATTTAACTTTCTCACTGCTATTAAAACTCATCGAGCCCTCCCCAAGGGAAACTTGGAGAAGAACTATACCAGTGAGTACTCATTATGAGCAATTCCCAAAGGGCACAGGCACAGACTGTGCCTTCCAAACACAACGTCACAGAATTTAGGCGGTTTCTTTCATACTACTGCAATACATATACCAACCACAAAAAACAGTATGATGCCACCTTCCTGTGACTTTAGAGAGCTGCAGCAGCTATATAACCAACATCATCTAAATTATTTCTCAGCCTTTCTGGTTGCAGCAAGTGATAGAGAAACAGTGAAAGAAAACACTTCTTCTTTTTTTTTTTTTTTTTTAGCTGAAAAGAATAACCTTCTAGGCACAATAAAGGCTCAAGAGGTTAAAGTGAAAGGTACTTTTTCTCATTACAGAACAACAATAGTCTCCAGCTCTTAATTATTGATAATTATTTCTAATAAAATACATAAACTATCCTAAAGTTTTGGAATCAAATATCTTTGTGTTCTAAAACCTAGTCTGACACTTACATGATCTCAAATTTAATGTGCATCAGAGCCATCTGGAGGGCTTGTTAAAACACAAACTGCTAGATTTATTTCCGAAGTTTCAGATACAGTAGATCTCAGGTAGGACCCAAGAATTTCCTTTTCTAACACGTTCCCAGGTAATGCTGATGTTGCTGGTGTGGGGACATACTTTGAGAATCAAAGTTCCTTCCTCCCCTGTTTAAAATGTTAAAATGCTGTTATCACTGGAGCATTTCTTGGCCCTTATCCGTCTAATCCTACATAGACTGAATAATTAACAATCCTATCTCCAAGAGTTCCTAGAATTTGTCTTTACTCTTAAGAGCCTAAGACTCACTTCGATAACTCCTGATCACTTGGAGGCTGAACAATTTGGTAAACATTAAATTATATTAAGTGTTTTCAAAGGCCTTACAACTCAAACACTGCTCTACAGATCAGAGGTATCAGAAGCTCTCATGAGCTTATTAGAGATACAGAATCTTGAGTCTCACCCCTGGCCTGCTGAACCAGAATTTCAATTACAGCAAGATCTTCAAGAAATGCACATAGCCAAGTTTGAGAAATGTTGGTCTAAAATACATAGGGAATTTCCATGGCACACGTATTAGTTCAGCAATTATGATTCCAGACCATTACCCTCATCTCACATGAATCTTTAAAAGCATTATGTAACTGAACGAATGAGACGAAATTATGAGCTGTTATTTATTAAATACCTTAAATTAGGAAAGTCTGAAGAGCCATCTACAGATATAGAAAGGAAATGACTCACTACTAGTTGGTGGATGACTCTGCTCCTTCATAAGCTATATTTTGTATTCAAATGGCAACATGTCTATAACATTACATTTTAGCACCATCAATTAGCTCATTATTTCATTGCCCCCCGCTTTTTCCCAAAGAGATGAGGTCTCACTATTGCCCACGCTGTTCTTAAACTCATGCCCTCAATTGTTCCTTCTGCCTTAGCCTCCCAAGTAGCTGTTGTTACAGGTACAATCACCACATCGATTTTTTAGAGATGGGAGCTCACTATGTTGCTCAGGCAGGCCTCAAATTCCTGGCCTCAAGCAATCCTCCTGCCTCAGCCTCCCTAGCCGCTGGGATTATAGTATAAGCCACAACACCCGACTCGATTTCATTATTTAGTAATGGAACCACTGGCTGTCTCTTTGCCAGTTTTGTGCAATAACTTGCTCGGAGGAGTTAAAAAACAGAGCAGCACCAACAGTATTTCTTTTCTTTTCTTTTTTTTTTTTGAGACAGAGCCTCAAGCTGTCCCCCTGGGCAGAGTGCCGTGGCATTACAGCTCACAGCAACCTCCAACTCCTGGGCTCAAGCGAGTCTCCTGCCTCCGCCTCCCAAGTAGCTAGGACCACAGGCGCCCGCCACAACGCCCGGCTATTTTTTCGGTTGCAGCCGTCATTGTTGTTTGGTGGGTCCGGGCTGGGGATTCGAACCCGCCACCTTAGGTGTACGTGGCTGGCGCCTTAGCCAGCTGAGCTATAGGCGCCGAGCCACCAACAGTATTTCTTTAGGAACATACTTGGTATACCTTAAGAGTTAAAAGGAGTATTTTGTACATTCAAAGGTATAGCTACTGCAAAGGACTAGGAGTTGTCTAGGACTAGGAGTTTGTCTAGGACAAAGGAGTTGTCAACTTGAAAGTGTAGGACTTTTATTTTAGCTGAGTCCAACACTTCTTTGGGCTGCCATTGAAAAAAAAGAAAACAAAAGCCTGGTTTGCATGGATAGCATCAAATTTCCTTTTCGTTCAACTGTTCTGCTCTTAAAAATCCACCACTTGTCCAAGAGTCCATCCCAAACTGAATATTTCAGGGGCTAAACTCCTCAATCTCTGATTTAAACTCACAGAAAGGGAAAGATCAGCTTTCTAAAGCCGTAGAACAAACCTGATCCAGCACAGGACAGGGTAAGCCTCCTGTGCGGGTACATCTGGAACAGTCTGAGCAGAGAGGGCAAAGCAGAACTCCTTTGTTGGTAACCAAAGCCAAGATTCATTAGGTTAAGCTTGGACTAAAAACCTTTTTAAAAGTGCTCTGTGATCACAGTTTTCATTGTTGCATCCAAGGATCTTAATAGTCCCTGTCTGGAGACAGGAGTGTAAAGAAGTCCACATCACACACCTGGCCAAAACTTGAGTACTATGTTTTAAACAAAGCAATAGGTAATTAGCCATAAATTCCCAATGAACTCTCACAAAGATGCATTTGATTTATTTCTTCTGGGGTAGAGGAGGAAGAAAAAACTGGCACTGATGCTTTTGTCTTCTTAAATTTAAAAGAAAAAACAGAATGAGAAATTCAAAAGTAAATACATATATCATGACCAATGGCCAAACCTAGAGGCTTGAAAATGAACTATTAGAAGACTGAAAGCCAAAAAAGAACAAAAAGCCCACTCAAAGTCCAGAATTCATAAGTTCACAAGAAATTTGGCACTGAAAAGACAGACTTTCCACATGTAAAGATTTTTATTCCCCAATCACATGCTACAATTAAAATGGCAGAGGCCTTTTCAGAGGAATAAGAGGTAGGTAATAAAGACAGGGCACACAACCAACAGAATGTCTTCACTAGTTTTGAGAACCATTTTGCCTAGGAAAAGTGGTTTCTTTTCCAATGAAACAATCTCTTTAAAACAGAAATTTGAAGTAGAAAAAGAAAATTAAGAAAGGGTAAAACCAATCTTCTTTAGGAGATCCAAACTGTGACAGGTGTCACAGTAAAGGAGAAATGATGATCATGGGCTATAAAACCAACACAATGTTTAAAGTTTAAGAGCCTAAACACACAGCTCTTCTCAAATGCAAAAACTCTCAGGCCTCACTCAACTCCTATATCCTAAAAGGCTCACAGAAGTCTTGCTTTATTGTGGAAAGGGAAGAAACTAGAACATGGCTGAAGAATCAGCCAGTAACTCAAAGACTGAATTCTAACTCTTCTCCTGGCCTTCATAACAAGCACATGCTTTTACCTAACATGGCTTACAAATAGAAAATATAAAGGAAGCACTCTGAATGAGTCATACCCCTCTGAAGGACAAATGGAACCGAATACCACAGAACACTCTTGATACTCTCTTCAGAGTCTAATCATGCATAACAGTTTCTTTTCCATTGTTCAAATTTATAAAACCACCATTCTAAAAAAACAAATGTTTCTTGACATCTATGATAACATCTTAAGTTTGTACTGTGGTTTCCATCTTGAGAATGTTTTAAGATATATTATGTCACCTGAATCTTCACAACAACCCCACAGTTAAGAAAAATAGTTTACCTCCATTCCACAGATCAAGAAAATGCCCACCAGAGAGGGTATTAGCAAAGATCTCAGTGCTCACTTTTTACAGCACTTAGCTTTATCAAATAAGGTGTTCTGAATTTAGTCATAGCATTCTCTATAGTCTGCTACCCAAAGTGTGGGCCACAGAAAAACAGCATCAGTATCACTTGGTGGGGTGATTCATATGCGAATTAAAGTTTGAGATGTGCTGCTCTAAAAAGGATTATGGTGCCTCTCTACAGTAGTAAGAGATCCCATCTCTGGATTTGGAGCCAAAAATCTGTCTTACCCATACAGCCATCTTCATCCACAAAAGTTTTAGATTTCAGTACACGTCTTCGTTTTCTTTTGTTTTCACCACTTGAGCTCTAAAAGATCAGAGAATACCATGCTAAGTTGACCAATGAAACTAAATTAGAAAAAAATAACACCAATAAAATCTATAATAAACACCCTCCAATATTCTACTATGATGAAAAAGTTCACAGAGCAACTCTACACATTAAGTTTTGGGTACCAACCCAGCCACCCAGACAAGCTATGTTCATTGTATGCACAAGCTTGATATTTCATTGTTTATAAGAAGAAAAATAGCATGCTAAAGAAAGAATTATGTTCAGTCAACAAACTTTTTTTTTTTTTTTGAGACAGGAGCCTCAAGCTGTCCCCCTGGGTAGAGGGCTGTGGCATCATAGCTCATAGCAACCTCCAACTCCTGGGCTCAAGCGAGTCTTCTGCCTCAGCCTCCCGAGTAGCTGGGACTACAGGCGCCCACCACAATGCCTGGCTATTTTTTGGTTGCAGCCATCATTGTTGTTTGGCAGCCCAGGCTAGATTCGAACCCACCACCTTGAGTGTACGTGGCTGGCGCCTTAGCCATTGAGCCACAGGCACCAAGCCCAGTCAACAAACTTTTATTGAGTAGTACAGGCACCATGGTTAAAAAGCAGACCACTGTGATACACCATGGTAAGGGCTTTAATGGAGCACTATGCAGATAGAGGAAAACATAGAGACATTCCCTAAACCAGACCAATGGTTTCTATGGCATATGCCCTTGCAGTAGATATTTGGTATATATCAGCACTGACATTTCAGCATTATGCTCATCTAATTTAGTCTCACATAAGACTTACTAATATACCAACTGCCCTTTTATCTCCACTGGACTCTTTCATCTCATTTCCTCTTCAGCTAATGAGGAGATCAGTGTAAGGTTTAAATGATAGTCTGAACACAATAAATTAAAGGAAAACTAATAATCAGAAAGAAAAAACTTGTCAGCACCCATTATCTTTTCATTATCTACACTAACAAATGTGGATAAGATGCAGCTGAAGATCATTCCAAACTGTACTTCCCCTAACTTGAGCAAGAATGAGACCCCATTTCTGCAAAAATATGGAAATTAGCCAGGTGTGAGCTTGTGGTCCCACCTGCTCAGGAGGCTGAGGTGAGAGAATCACTTGAGGCAGCAGCAAGACACTCATGCCACGGCATTCTAGCCTAGGCAACAGAGTGAGACCTTGTCTCAAAAAAACCAAACAAAAAAACAAAAAAAACCCTCTGTATTTCTCCATGGGTTGACAGTTTTTCTCATCCAGCCCTTTTCCAGAAGAGCTTCTAAACAGCAACAAATGTGTGTGAGTTGTTCATTCTCCACTGTCTTTCACGCTTTACTCTGATGTATGCAGGGTTTCTTTTTGCAGTATTCTAACAGGAGTTGTGTAACATAGCAGTGATGCTGAAGGTCATGAAAAACAAAACAGCTTCTAGGGTTCACATCTGCACACAGCCTTCCTGAGACTATGCCTACAGTGAAATTTCCCTTGCAGGTGAGAAGGGAGTGAATGTCCATTCTGTACAACCTGTAGGGCAGCAAAATGAGACAAGAGCCACCTACTGGCATTTGTGAAGTATACAGCAAGTGAACTGATTACATGTAGTAGTCACAGATCTTTGGACTAAAGGACACACTGAAATGCAAACTTCGCAGTATAAAGTTTTACCTTGATGGAAGGAGGTTCAGAATCAGTCTTTGGCACTGGTTCAAGAGGTGGAGACACAGGAGGAGGTAGGGATGGAGACTCAGCTTCAGAAGCCCCAGGAGAGTCTGGGAAGACTGAAATAATGAAATAAGCTTAGATAAAGGAAAGAACTATGAGCACAAAGCTTCTCCACCAATTCTCCAAGCTTCTATGTCCAGCAAGGGCATTTTGGAAGCAAAAATTCATGATAACCAAGAACTTTATGGTTATACAGTTATGTTTAAATTTTATTTTTATATAAATACAATTTTATTAATTTTATACAAATAAAATCAGAGAATCAAGCATTATTAGAGCTAGAAGTATCTTAACTAAATTTTCTTTTGTAGCTAAGTCAGGGCATGAAGCTGATTTTTAAATATTCACTGATTATCTACCGTGTGCCATGTATTTCACTTTATTCTCATAACAATCCTAAGAGACAGATATTATTATTTGCACATTACAATTGAGTAAACAGATTTAGAGAGGTTCCTTAACTTGCCACTGAGACAGGAGGTTTTAATCCTAAGTTAGTCTGATTCCACAGCCTTGTTATTTCCAATATTCCCTGCTACCTTAGCTTATCATTCAGGACCAGACATTTTCTTTTGTTCCATGCCAGAGTCTTTGTGATTATGATCTAAGGATTACTCGCATCACCTAAAATATCTATTAGACTGAAAATTTCTGGGTGATGTTAAGAGCATAAATTTGAGGTAGAAAGATCATCTTTGAAATGATGTCACAGTAAAGTTCTAACAACTAAGACCTGCTTAGTATTTTGTATAGGGGCCAGGTGTGGTGGCTCATACCTTTAATTTTAGTACTCTGGGAGGCCAAGGCAGGAGGATCACTTGAGCTCAGGAGTTCTAGACTAGCCTGAGAAGGAATGACACCCTGTCTCTACTAAAATACAAAAAAATTACCCAGGCATCATGGTGGGTGTCTATGGTTCCAGCTACTTGGGAGGTGATGCTGTGGTACTCCAGCCTGGGCAACAGAGTGAGACTATCTACATAAATTCACAAATAAAAATATAAATATTTTTGTATAGGAATTATTCCTAGAGATCACCCCACTGATGAGGCTTGTTCTGCTACACTGAGACTAATGGGAAAGAATACTTTTGGTAATAAGCAAACAAATATTGCTATAGAAGTGGTATCACACAAGAAAAGAGCACCACCAGAAGAATGCCAACATTCCTCAGCAGTTCCAGAAACAGTAGTATAAGGCCCATAAGAGAGGAAGTGAAAATCCTCAGCTGACCTTTTGCTTAATGACCACAAAGAAATTGCTGGTCTGAAGCCTGGGAAGCTGCTTAGCCTCACCTGCTCCCTGAATCTCCTGGCTATATTTAAATTCTTAGCACAAGTCTTGGATCTAAAATTTTCCCAACTGATTAGGTCAGTGTTAAAAATTATGACAGGGGAGGGTTCAAGGCCAAATGACCTAAAGAGGTGAAGCGGAAAAGAGCCAAAACAAAACAATAAACTACACACACTTCAAGTATGAAATGGACTCCCAAACTTTACAAGCTCTGGGAAACAAGAGACAGAAACATAAAAGGAAAGTGGTCCAGCTATTAACCCAGCTCTGGGAGGCTAGACCAAGATGTGAGTTCAAGTAAGACATGTTAAAAACCAGAAGCAAGCATGCATTGCTGTGAAGGAATAGTTATTAACATAGTTGGGCCACAATGGTAGCAAGTTACAGTGGTAGGAGGAAAGATTAGCTAGTGAGGAAACTAAAGAAAAGAAATTTTGAGCACTCACAGTAATAAGTTTAGGTGTTATTATTCTATTTCCAGTTCTGTAACCATTTGACTTAACCAAAGAAACACTTAATCCTAGTGGTACCCTCTAAGACCCTTCTTATTGCACTATATGCAACTAGTTATCTGTATCTCCACTCTGAACACTAAAATTCCAAAGAGAAGCGAGGCGTGGCAGCTCATGCCTGTAATCCTACCACCGTGGGACGCTGAAGGCAGGTGGACTGGTTGACTTCAGCAGTTCAAGATCAGCCTGAGCAAGAGCAAGACCCTGTCTCTATTAAAAACAGAAAAACAAGTTGGGCATATGGCAGATATCTTAGTTCCAGCTATTCAGGAGGCTGAGGCAAGAGGATCACTCAAACTCAAAAGAACAAACAAACAAACAAACAAATAAAATTCCAAAGAGGCAGCAACATCACAATTTCCACGGCATTGAATACAGAGTAACTATACACATACACACACACATTTTTTTTTTTTAAGTAAAGAAAAACTATCACTTTCTAAACTAAATTTGGAATGAGGAGGAGCATCCATTCATCCTGGAATGAAAGAACTGAAAACATATCAGTTAAGACTGTATTTCTTCCTAGTAATGCAGGAATGAAGTTATTTCTTTCTGGGTCTAGCCTTTTCTTTTTTTCCTTACAAAGAGAGCATGTAGAATCACTAAAGGTGCTTATGACCCTGTCAGGGTGAAGGAGAAACAATAGTCCCTTGGGCAGAGAGTCAGATAGGAAACTGAAGGGAATTTTCTGAGATAAGATACTCCCCAGTGCATTCACTACTGCTAAACATTTACTGGACATCTCAACAGGACGAGTGAAGTAAGTAATAAGAAAATCAACTATGTATCAAGCACTGTCCTAGCACTTGTGACGTACCATCTTATTTGATGTTCATAGAAAGCCTACGCAATTTTCGTGGTAACATCCCCACTTTAGAGATGTGGAAACAAGGAATTTAAAAAATTAAGTAATCTGCCTAAAGTCACACAGTAAGTGGTAGTGGTAAGATTTAAACCCAAGTCTGTCTGATCCAAGGTCCTTGATATTCTCCACTCTTGCCAGTGCTCTGTTAATTTCTAATGATAGCTTAAAATAGTGTATTACATATTCAGGATAACATAAATAAAGCAGTAAGTTAGAGACTGTGTAAAGATTTAAAATAAAATCTCACTGGCTTTGAGAAAAGTAAGAAATTTAAGAATCAAATGGCAGGTTTATAAATTTATTCAGATGTCAAAAACTCTGTGTCAGAGAAAAAACTCTGAGAGCCCTGCTCTATATCATCTGTTATTATAGGTTATTTGCCTCTATGACATTTCTTCACAATCCTTTCAAAACTAAATAAGCCCCCTCATATTTCTTTTTTTCTTTCTTCTTTTTTTATTTTGAGACAGATTCTCACTGTGTTGCCCTGTGTAGAATGCTGTGGCCTCACAGCAATCTCAAACACTTGGGCTCAAGCAATCCTATTGACTCAGCCTCCACAGTAGCTGGGACTACAGGTGCCTGCCATAACACCCAGCTATTTTTAGAGATGGGGTCAGGCTGGTCTTGAACTCCTGAGCTCAAGCGATCCACCACTTTAGCCTCCCAGAGTGCTGGGATTACTACTTGGCCAGCCCACTTATATTTCTAATCACTCATAGGTATTATTTTTGTGGGCTATGGATTAGAACTACAGAGTATTTCAGAGTATGTAATTAGTGCTCAATCAACCATGGTAATTCCTCGACTTAAAGCTGTCTCCTTCACTAATACCAGAGTATCTAGTTTACTTTTTTAATGTACTTTCAGCTGATGACTTTAAAGACTTTTCCAGAATCTTCCTCAAGGTCTTTTCCTGATTGGAAATAGGAAGACTGTTCCAATTTGCACAAATTCCTAAATTTACTTCCTAATTATTTCCCCACGTGTCTACGTGGAGTTGCCCATCTTTCTTTCAGTAGCCTTGGTCAAAACACTTTGATAAATGACAAGGAATAAAAATACAGCAACTGCTCCTCTAGGACACTCACAACGCTCTATCCCTACTCATTCCAAAGAGCTATACCTCTGAGGATATTTTATCTTTCACAGGCTATCAGAAGCTTTAATCCTAACACATAAGCATGAATGGTAGCATCTAAATCCACAGAAGAATCAAAGATGGTACCTCTGTCACAGAGAGGTTCAACTTCCTGGTACTATTTCTTAGACCTATTTATTTCTTTTGCATTACTGCCACCTGTATATATAACATATTTTTTCATTCACTTATACAGCTGAGCTACTACTTTTTATGGGAGGCCTCTGTTACAATTTTCAATTCTTCTTAGAGCTGTTTCTGGTAAGAATATACAGTCTTACAGTTTAGTTTTGTCCTTTGATAGCACAACAGATTCCTTTTTCACATTCATTATTATTTTTTAATACCATTTAGTATCAGTGCATTTGTCTATGTATCTTTATGTGATGCTGAATTCCTTTGGACTAAATTTCCCCTGCTTTCCTAATATATTTTCTATGGCATGAATTCATGAAGAACTAATTATAGCAATTCAAACTTTTTCATCACTGGTTCTCAAAGCAGGCTTTTCAGGGTAGTTGTTTAGCATACAAGGTCAGCCTAGCTGTCTTTCTCTTTCTATATACTTTCCTTCACACAAAGTGGGAAGAGACCTTGGCTCATTGAATACCTGATATTCTTTTAAAAAGCTTATTAGTTTTCCTGGTGAGATTCTTGCCCTTATTCAGTTTGCTATCTTATAGCACTGCCCAAAATCTAAAACTAGAAGAGTAGATAGCATCATTTCCTTTCCACAAGGGTACTGTTGACTGTTCCAGTTTACAGTAGTTTTACCTTCTATGGTATGAACACCACTCCAATTATCCTTGATACTTAGAATATCACAATTCTTAAAAGACTCACATGAAAGTAACCAAAGAAATGTCTCTTCCCTTAAAAAAAAAATAAACTGTATATATATTTAGATAGTATATATAATAGTCACATCCTCTCTCCCTTTATGTTACTTGCTTTGGCAATTACCAGAAGACCATGGTTCTGGTCAGAAGGATAAAGCAAATTTCAAACTGAAGTTAAGTATCGTAAGTCTCTCAATGCCAGGATTACTATTCTCATCGTGACCCATAATAAATTACCTTTTTTTTTTGTAGTTTTTGGCTGGAGCCAGGTTTGAACCCACCACCTCCAGTATATGCAGCCAGCACCATACTCCTTTGAGCCATAGGCGCTGCTCAATAAATTACTTTTTTAGCTCCTTGAGCATCAAAATAAAAATTGATCCACTTAACCAAAAATTAAAAGTAATGCCCACCTTCATCTTCACTGCTGTCAGACTCAGGAAGTTTGATTCTTCTCCTTTTTTTCTTCATATTTTCAGTTTCCTTTGTCTCATCATCAGATAACTCTACTCGCTTTCCCCTGCTGCCATCCAGGAATAAATTAAACATGTTACAGCAATCAAATATTAAGTATTCATAGGTTCCTATAGGTTCTGCCCTATAACCCACAATCTTAATTCCAGAGGGTACAAAAGAACCCTTAGTGGCTATCAGAATAGCTCACTAAGATACTCTGCTAACTGACCACAACTAAGTCACTTCATGAGTTGACCAGAATAAAAAATTTCTCCAACTCTCTATAGACCACTGGAAAGTACAACCAGGTTAACGAAGAATTTTTCTAAATTCCTTCTTACTTTCCCTACTTAGCCTCTCCATCATTCAACAGCACTAAATAAGGAAGCTACCATCTACATACAAGGCTCTTTACTATACACTGAGGATGCAAACATATGGAAGAAAATACTGTTTTCAAGACGCTCTGACAAATACTACTAGCTAAAATGCAGTATGTTAAATTTTACTGCACAAATAAAATACTATGGAATATGACTCTTTTTTGAAAACCTAAGTAGAAGTTCATCAGGTAGAAATGAGGGCAAATATTTTATAGAGAATAATAATATGAGCAAAGACACAAAAATCCTTTATAGTGATTCCAATGACATAATAAAAACTTAAGACTCCATCTTGACATTATTTGGCTCCTCTGATGTTCCAATACACTACTCATCCACCAACAAATAATTTTCTATCAAAAGTCTTTCTATCTTGAGATAGAAAAAGAACAAATTAAACTCAAAGTAAAAGGAAACAATGAAATGCAGAAATCAATGAGACAGAAAATATTTATAAAATTAATGTCTTTTATAAAACTGATAAAAGAGAAAGAAATTGGGAATGAAATAGTGAAGGAATCTGTAGTGATAATTACAGATTCTACAGAAACTAAAAAAATAAGGCTGTATTTATGAACAACTTCATGCCAATAAACTCAATGACTTGGATGAAACAGACATATTCCTGTAAGAATACAATTCAGCAAAATATGAATAGCTAAAAACTCTCCTACAAATAAAATCTGGACCTGGATTCACTGGTGAATTTTATCAAACCTTTATGAAAGAAATAATATATATCTCACACAAACTCCTTCAGAAAACAGGAAACTCTTCCCAATCACAGTCATGTGCTATTTAATGACAGGGACACATTCTGAGAAATTCATTATGAGGCTATTTCATTGTGTGAACATCATAGAGTGTGCTTACACTAACCTAAATGGAATAGCCTCCTACATACTTAGGCTTTATGGTATAGCCTACTGCTCCTAAGCTATAAGTCTGTACAGCATGTCACTATACTGAATATTGCAGACAACTAGAACACAATGGTATTTGTGTATTTAAACATATCTAAACATAGAAAAGGTACAGTAAAATATAAAACATGGTACACCTCCACAGGGCACTTACCATGCGTGAATGGAGCTGGCAGGATTGGAGGTTGCTCTAGATGAGGCAGTGAGTGAGTGGTAAGTGAATGTGAAGGACTAGGACATTACTGTACACTACTGTAAACTTTATAAACACTATACACTGAGGCTACACGAAATTTATTAAACATTTTTCTTTCTTCAATAATAAACTAGGCTTATTATAACTTTTTTACTTTATAAACTTAAAAATTTTTAAACTTTTTTACTCTTTTGTATTAATGCTTAACTCAAAACACACTGTACAGCTAGACAAAAATATTTTCTTTAGGTCCTTACTCTGTAAGCTTTTTTCTATTTTTTAAAATTTAATTACTTTTACTGATAAAATGTTTTTGTTAAAAATAAAGACACAAACTTAAGCATTAGCCTAGGCCCACACAGGGTAAGGATCATCATTACCACTGTCTTCCACCTCCATGTGTTGTCCATTGGAAGGTCTTCAGGGCAATATCGTGTATGGAGCTATATGGTACTAATGCCTTCTTCTGGAATATCTCCAAAAGGACCTGCCTGGGGCTGTTTTACAGTTAACTTTTTTTTTTTTTAAATTAAATCATAGCTGTGTATATTAATGCAGTCACGGGGTACAGTGTGCTGGTTTTATATACAATTTGAAATATTTTCACCAAACTGGTTAACATAGCCTTCATGGCATTTTCTTAAGTTATTGTGTTAAGACATTTATATTCTACATTTAGAAAGATTCACATGTACCCTTGTTTACAGTTAACTTTTAAAAATATATATAGATGTAGGAGTACTAGGCTGGGTACAGTGGCTCATGCCTGTAATCCTAGCACTTTGGGAGGCTAAAATAATTAGGAGTTCAAAGATCAGCTTAGATAACAAAGCAGGACCTTGTCTCAAGAAAAAAAAGTAGGACTACTTAAAGGACGATAAAAAGGATAGTACAGTAAACACATAAATTAGTATGTGTACCATAGATATTTATTATCATTATTAAATATTATGTAATACATACATAATTGTATGTGCCATACTTTTATATAACTGGCACTACAGTATGTTTACATCATGACCACAAATTTGAGCAAGGAATTACACTACCACGTTGCAACAGCTGCAGTGTCACTAGCCAGTAAGAATTTTTCAGCTCCATTATAATCTTATGTCATATGTGATCCATTGTCAACTAAAACATTATTGTATAGTGCATGACTACAATTTTATGAGTTAGCAGAACTTAGACACTGCAACTTGCCAAAGACATTACCAGAAAATAAGTAACCTGTAGCCCTCATCAACACAGGAGCAAAAAAAAAAGCTTAGTGTTTCATTCCCAATTTCAACCTAGCAATATATAAAAAGGATAATATGTCATGACTGTGGCTTATCCCAAGAATTAAGGGTTTAACATTCTAAAATCAACGTAATTCATCACATTAAGAAAACACCATATGAGCATCTCAATAAATGCAGAAAAAGCATCTGTCAAAATTCAACAACTATTCATGATAAAACTTGTCATCAAACTTGGAATAGAAAAGAACTTTTTCAGTCTGGTAAAGGGCACTGCTAAAAATCTACATTTAACATCACACTTAGTGAAACGCAGAATGCATTCCTGGCAATAACCATCAACGATGAGTGTTATACTCATGGTTGGGGACGTTTTAATCCATCCATATCCTATGTTCCTAGTAGGCAAGGGCCACTAGGCAGAGCCTAACCCTCTAAAATTTCACCACTTTGTTGATGTTTTCAACTCAAGTAGCTCCAACCTTACCACAAAAGTCAAGTCTTTCTGGGCCTATCAGTGCTGACAGTGTCCTTTAGAATTTCTTTCAACAGACTAATTCCTACCAACTATGAGGTAGTGTCTCAAATTCCTGGATCTAGTTTTAATAGCTTGTGTGCTTTTTATTTTCTTTTCTAATTACATTTTACCGCTTGAAAAATAAACTCATTGAAATAAAAAGAAAACAAAGAACTTTTTCTGTTAAATTTGACTAGAAACAGTAACCACTGGTTTGGCAATCTAAAGAGAAAAACAGACAGACACACACACACACAATTAGGCACACTTATGCCATGTCCACAAATTTAAAAGAAATTAAGAGAGAAAAGACAATCAATTTAGATCAATGGGGCCAAAAATTACTTTGGGCCCTAAATTATCTACACTGGCTGATTCCACTTCAGTAGATAAAGTATTGAGCTTTTCCCTTCATTTTGATTGTACAATTGTATCATGAAGGCATTCAGTAGGACTTAGTACTCAACTGAAAAATGCCAGCTGTCAATAACCCTAAACAGCTCTTCTCACCCCTAGTAGAGACGCTCTTCCCCCACAGGCAACATTTTCCTACCTTTTTTTTTCCTTCTGCTGCATCTTAACAGGCTCTGCTTTTTTGCTGGATTTCTTCAGGCCTGCAGGAGCTGCCAGCTTTGGTTCAGTGACAGGCATTGGAGGTTGCTCCACTGTTTTTTCTTCTTTCACTGCTTGTTCTGAATCCAAATTGACTTTAAGTTTATCTACAAATAAAGTATAGCAGACGATACATAACCCCATCGTGCAATATTAATCCATCATTTTTTGACAGTCTACTATGTGCCAAGTAATAACTTAGGAGCAGGGGCAAAAGGGATAAAAAAACAGTCCTTGTCCTAACAGAGCTCATGGTCTATTCTGAAAACATGTCTCCTTTCTAACTACCACTTTAACTGTTTTCATTTCTGCCTCCTGCTAATCCCTTATTATATTACAGCCTATAAGCCAAATGATAGTAAAAGAAAGACTTATAAAAAACACATTCAATTTTATGAAGTATCATCCTTCTCATTTTTCAGATGAGAAAAACAAAGAGTCAAAGAGATCAAAAATGCTTCCCAAGAATATATGGCTTACAAATGGTGACAATAGATTTTGAAACAAGACCTTTACTTTCTATTATATTCTATCTTAACGTTTGGATACTTTTACTATCTCACTACTACCTTAATGATAAAATTTAAAGACTATTTTGGAATCAGGAAAGTTTGGTGCAGGCTGGGCACGGTGGCTCATGCCTGTAATCCTAGCATTCTGGAAGGCTGAGGCAGGTTATCACCTGAGTTCAGGAGTTGGAGACTGGCCTGAGCAAGAGTGAGACCCTGTCTCTAAAACTAGCTGGACATTGTGGTGGCCACCTGTAGTCCCAACTACTCGGGAGACTGAGGCAAGAGGAGCTCTTAAACCCAAGAATTTGAGGTGAGCTGTGATGTCACTGCACTCTACCCAGGGCAACAGAGTGAGACTCTCTTAAGAAAAGAAAAAAGAGGCTCGGCGCCTGTGGCTCAAGCGGCTAAGGCGCCAGCCACTACACCTAAGGTGGCGGGTTCGAATCCCCAGCCCGGGCCCGCCAAACAACAATGACAGCTGCAACCAAAAAATGGCCGGGCATTGTGGCAGGTGCCTGTGGTCCCAGCTACTTGGGAGGCTGAGGCAGGAGACTCGCTTGAGCCCAGGAGTTGGAGGTTGCTGTGAGCTGTGATGCCATGGCACTCTACCCCAGGGGGATAGCTTGAGGCTCCGTTTCAAAAAAAAAAAACAAAAAAAAAGAAAAGGAAAAAGAAGAGAAAAGGGAAAAGTCAGGATTTAAATCTAAGTCAGCTTAACTACTCAAAGTCCTTATCCTTTTCCCTGGATATCAAGCTGAAAAACAACTACTGTGCAGTGGGGAGGACTAAGAAATGTAAGTAGGAATGGCCTAGCCATTTGAGAAACACAAGCAAAGTCACAAAATACTATTAGAATTTCCTATATCCTGTGATGCCTTAGATAACTGAAGTGATGAAGATCTCTGGCATGTTAGGAGGGGTTGTGAATAGTACTAAACTTTGGCTCTAGGTCAGAATGAGACAGATGGCTATTTTGGATAACCTGCAACCCCAGGCTTATGAACTTATATAGAATCGGATGTCCTATAAACAAGAGTTCTGATTGTTATGGTTCACTTACCCTTTTACTACTTTTGGCATCAGAGTATCTGAACATCTATGAGGGGCACTCTAATTGCAAGTCTGGTCACAGATGAATGTTACAGGTTACAACCTCAGTTAATATTGCTGTGTTCACAGAAAATTTTCATTTGCCTTTATACAAAAAGCAATAGAGAACAGTGGTCCACTTGGGGAATAGTTCAAGGCCATGAGGAAGGATAACTCAGTATCATCTCAACAAGCAAATCTGGGGACCTATTCAGGAGTGTCATTTAGAAATAGTTTTCCCCGGTTGGACTACATAATTTTTGTAATTTAATAAACTATGAAGAAGTTAAGCTATAAATTCTGCTGGTTAAAGTAATCTTGCTAATCCTGATATTCTGATTACCTGAGAATTACACTATGCCTTAGTTGAACTACTGCTTTTGGATACTATCTTTTGCCTTTTTAATAATGTTCTTTATAATATTAGTTTGCGCTGCTGTACATGCTCATAAACTCTTTGGGTAGGGGAAAAAGAAGATTCCCCCGACTTCCTTTAAGTTTGCAGTGAAGGTAATTTAAAAAATAGTTTTAAATATCTAAAAAAAAAAAAAAAATACCATTAGAAAGCTGTAAACTTACTGGGGTAGGGAACCTGCAGCCTCAAGGCCACAGGTGGCCTTCCAAATACCCAAAAGCAGCCTCTCTACCCAATCCAAACTTTACAGAACAAATCCCTTTATTAGAATGATTTGTTCTGTAAAATTTGGATTCAGTTAAAAAGCCACACCTAAGGATCCAGAAGGCCACACGTGGCCTCCAAACTGCAGGTTCCCCTGGCTCAGCATCCAAAGCTCAGCCATATACACAGAGGCTGGCAGATTGGATCTGCCTGCTAAACAATGACAACTATAACAACAACAACAAAAATAGCTGGGCATTGTGGTGGATGCCTGTAGTCCCAAATACTTGGGAGGCTGAGGCAAAAGAATCACTTAAGCCCAAGGGTTTGAGGTTGCTGTGAGCTGTAATGCCACAGCACTCTATGGAAGATGACATAGTGAGACTATGTCTCAAAAAAAAGACTGCAGGTTCCCCATCCCTTAAGCTACTTAAGAGCATAAGAAAAAAAAGGTATCTTAGTTTTGGCTATTATATACAGCTTACTATAATAACTTTTTTTTTTTTTTTT